AGAAGAATAGTGGTAGAAGAAAGCAGAATGAAGAGTAAAGAAGAATAGTGGTAGAAGAAAGCAGAATGAAGAGGATAGAAGAGCCAAATAAGGAGTAAAGAAGAATACCGGTAGGAGAAACCAGAATGAAGCGTAAAGAAGAATAGTGGTAAGAGAAAACAGAATGAAGAGTAAAAAAGAATAGTGGTAGAAGAAAGCAGAAATGAAGATTAAAGAAGAAAAATAGTGATAGAAGAAAGCAGAATGAAGAGTAAAGAAGAATAGTGGTAGGAGATATTGGAATGAAGAGTAAAGATGAATAGTGGTAGAAGAAAGCAGAATTAATAGTAAAGAAGAATAGTGGCATGAAAACAGAATGAAGAGTAAAGAAGATTAGTGGTAGGAGAACAGAATGAAGAGTTAAGAAGAATAGTGGTAAGAGAACAGAATGAAGAGTAAAGAAGAATAGTGGTAAGAGAAAGCAGAATGAAGAGTAAAGAAGAATAGTGGTAGGAGAAAGCAGAATGAAAAGTAAAGAAGAATAGTGGTAGAAGAAAGCAGAATGAAGAGTAAAGAAGAAAAAAGGTAGGAGAAAACAGAATGAAGAGTAAAGAAGATTAGTGGTAAGAGAAAGCAGAATGAAGAGTAAAGAAGAATAGTGGTAGGAGAAAACAGAATGAAGAGTAAAGAAGAATAGTGGTAAGAGAAAACAAAATGAAAAGTGAAGAAGAATAGTGGTAAGAGAAAACAGAATGAAGAGTAAAGAAGAATAGTGGTAAGAGAAAGCAGAATGAAGAGTAAAGAAGAATAGTGATAGGAGAAAGCAAAATGAGTCTATTCTCTGCTTTTCAAAACTTTTAATGGATTTCAAATTATTCCAACTTTGTGATATATGGCTGGATGAATAGGAGGGAGAAGGGTGGAATAAAATAGCAAAATTCAGATTTCTTCTTATTCACCGTTTCATCCTGTTTACAGTTGTATTTTAGAGAACAGTTGTATTAAATAGGAGGTGGGAGGATGAAATGGTAGGTTGGGCGGGAGGATAAGGGGCAGATAACTTGGCAGAATGATAAAGAATAGATAGGTTTGGGCGGGAGGATAAGGGGCAGATAACTTGGCAGAATGATAAAGAATAGATTGGGCGGGAGGTTAAGGGGGAGATAACTTGGCAGAATGATAAAGAATAGATAGGTTTGGGCGGGAGGATAAGGGGCAGATAACTTGGCAGAATGCGAGGCGGGATGAGGAAGGATAAATAAGTTGGGAGGCGGTAAGATGAAGAATAGATAATTTGGGAGGCGGGAGGATGAAGGAAATAAACATTGGGAGGCGGGAGATAAAGAATATTATGTTGGGAGGCGGGAGTATAAAGAATATTATGTTGGGAGGCGGGAGTATAAAGAATATTATGTTGAGAGGCGATAGTATAAAGAATATTATGTTGAGAGGCAAGAGTATAAAGAATATTATGTTGGGAGGCGGTAGCATAAAGAATATTATGTTTGGAGGCGGGAGTATTAAGGGAGAATATACTTGGGATGAAGGAGGCGGTAGGATGAAAAATGTAAAAACAGTGAAAAAGAGGTTTAACATTTTTTTTTGGAAGAATGGGTATTTTGAGGTGTACGATATATTATTTAAAGTAAAAAATGTGTTAATCCTGTATGTTGGCTTCTCTTGTAAAGATATCTATATCATTAATAACCATCTTGTCCTATCCCTGTCTTCAACAAGGTTTTTTACTTTACAGAGTTCAACAGAAAATTCATTCCGTTCAGGGGTTAACCTATATCTTAATTTCATACAAAACATTTAAATTTTGTGATTTTTAATAATTGCAAATAAAACAAAAGTTTTTTCTCTTCTACTAAATTTGTGTGCTTTTTTACAGGTGAAATTTTTTTTACCTTAGATACAAAATATTTCAAAATATTTTCAACAGTGCCAAATTTTTAAAAACATTTTTTGACTAAATGAGAATACAGTGATATTCTAGTTTTTATTAGACTTTCATATTTTGTATCAAGATTGACTACGAGGAAAAATGGAGCCAACATTTTTGTGAATTATGTTAATATTTTTTTGGTATTATTAGTTTTAATGGCCCCGGCCGGCAGTACAAACATAAGCATTTACTACTCAAAATACTATATATATTCTAGATAGTTCTCTTTCAAAACTAAATCCCCTTCTTTCCAGATCCTGGCCTTTTAGCCACATCTATTTAAATATTTCATTAGTTAAATTGTAAGTAATTTTATAATTTAAATTCCGTATCAGACTTAGCCCTCTATATATGGAATGCTAATTCAGGCTAAATTCTACACACAACTTTAAACTCTACATTCTACACATTCTATACTCTACACTCTACACTCTATACTCTACACTCTACACTCTACACTCTACACTCTACACTCTACTCACTCTACACACTCTACACTCTACACTCTACACTCTACACTCTACACTCTACACTCTACACTCTACACTCTACACTCTACACTCTACACATTCTACACTCTACACATTCTACACTCTACACTATACACTCTACACTGTACTCTTTCTACACACTCTACACTCTACACTCTAAACTCTACACTCTACACTCTACACTCTATACACTCTACACTCTACACTCTACACTCTACACTCTACACTCTACACTCTACACTCTACACTCTACACTCTACACTCTACACTCTACACTCTCTACACTCTACACTCTACACTCTACACTCTACACTCTACACTCTACACTCTACACTCTACACACTCTACACTCTACACTCTAAACTCTACACTCTACACTCTCTACACTCTACACTCTACACTCTACACCCTACACCCTAAACTCTACACTCTACACTCTACACTCTACACTCTACACTCTACACTCTACACTCTACACACTCTACACACTCTACACTCTACACTCTACACTGAAGACTACAGGCACTAAAACGTTTTTGCAAGAAAAAAAACGAAGCAGAAAGAAACATGCAAGATCCTGAGTATATATGTACAATGTACATCTCTTCAATTACATTTCTGTATAATACACCAGTCATATATTTTGTTATTATTAAATTATATAAGTTTGATGTAAACATATCTGCGGTCCTATGCGGGAAAAGTACCCCGTGAATTATATATTTCTACAATATATGTAATAGAAACATGACATGTACGAACAATAGAAGGATTATAGTTGTCATAATATAGAATATAATAACCATACAACACCATAATTTATCATTATAGACAGTGGTCTACAGAAACTTATACCGTTTGGAAGCAATATTGGTTGATTTGGGACAACCCTTAAAACCTGACAATTTTCTGCAACAGAATCCAAAACTTTCTTTGTAGGAGAAACGACAATTGAAAATTATCAATTTTAAAAGAAGAAAACAAGGATATTTCATAAATTGTTTAACGAGAAAGCTTTATAGTAGTATATCGCGCAGGCAAATCCCGAATCGCTCTACAAAATACAAATATATAAAACTATGATTTAATATTAGAACCCATTTTCACACATTAAATGTAGACTTTTTTTAAATTTGCTATTCATACTTTTTGTTGAATTATGTATCTCAAATTTTTTGTTCTTTTTTTAACAGATTTTGAATGAGAAATGAAAATATGACTAAACGGTTTTACGTGAAAATAGACATTTTATATTTTAGATGTTATGAGGTATGTGCATATTATATGTTATGAGTTATGTGCATATTATATGTTATGAGTTATGTGCATATTATATGTTATGAGTTATGTGCATGCCCTTAAAACTTCTAACTTTGCCAAAATTATAAAGTAATGTTTTTCTTTTAAAAAAATTGTTAATTTCCAATTCTTTTTAAACCCGACTTTCGGATTAATACAGTATTAGATTGACAGTCCTTTTTAATGTTGTAAATATATGTCCATATCCTTATCCATATCCATATCCATATCTTTTTTTTCATATCTATATCCCACGTGGATTTAACGGTTCTGTCAAAATTCCAGAAAGCTGTGACTTTCAATCATAATTTGACCAATTAGACATGAAACCGAATGCTGCTCACTATGGTTAGTCTGGGGTGATCCATATCCATATCCATATCCATATCCATATCCAAATCCATATCCATATCCATATCCATATCCATATCCACATCCATATCCATATCCATATCCATATCCATATTCATATCCATATACATATCCATATCCATATCCGTATCCACATCCATATCCATATCCATATCCATATCCATATCCATATCCATATCCATATCCATATTCATATCTGTATCCATTATCCACCATATCCATATCCATATCCATATCCATATCCATATCCATATCCATATCCATATCCATATCTATTATCCATATCCATATCCATATCCATATCCATATCCATATCCATATACATATCCGTATCCGTATCCATATCCATATCCATATCCATATCCATATCCATATCTGTATCCATTATCCATACCTGTATCCATATCCATATCTATATATATATCCATATCTGTATCCATATCCATATCCGTATCCATATCCATATCCATATCCATATCCATATCCATATCCATATCCATATCCATATCCATATCTGTATCCATTATCCATATCTGTATCCATTATCCATATCTGTATCCATTATCCATATCTGTATCCATATCCATATCTATATCCATATCCATATCAATATCCATGTTCACATCCATATCAATATCCATGTTCATATCCATATCCATATGTATATCCATATCCATATCCGTATCCGTATCCGTATCCGTATCCATATCCATATCCATATCCATATCTGGATCAATTATCCATACCTGTATTCATATCCATATCTATATCCATATCCATATCTGTATCCATATCCATATCCATATCAATATCCATATCCATATCCATATCCATATATATGTATAGATGTATGATATCGATTAAAACTTAGTCAAAATTTGGATAAAAGTTTTTGAATTAATAAATAAAAGTAGATAATTGAATTTGTATTCTAACAATTAAACATTTTATAAATAATATCAATATCACATTTATAGTTCGGGATACTAGAGTTAGAGTTTTCATGGCAGGACAACTCCATAACAAATTCAAGAAAAAAATGTCGGAAAAAGAGAAAACTAAGAAAATGCATAAATCCTTTCCATAGTTAGTTAGTTAATATTATCTAGACTTCCAACAGCTTATTAAATCTAAATCTTTCAAAATTGCTTGAAAATCAACATGTGCTTAGTAATTCAACATACATTTTCCCTTTTTTTTCAAATATTTTTTAAAACTGATTGATTTTTGTTAAATATAAAAATTCAGTTTTGTTCCCACACAACATAAAGGTTCCAAGAACAGATATAGTTTCACATAAATGCATTATAATGTAAAAATTCATCAATTTGAAAAATCAATATTTATAAATCAACTAAAGAAAACTGACTAACGTGTGATTGTAACTGTACTGTTCTTAATCAAATTATCTTAAACAATAACTGACTTAAAATTTAAAGGGAGTGTTTGCGAAAAATACAAGGGCTTATACGGCGAAAAATAAGAAGTAAGATTAGTAGCGATCAAAAGTGATTATTTTGCCGTAAGCCTATATCCCCTTGAATTTTTCGCGAACACTCCCTTTAATTAAGGTAAGGCCATTACAAATTTTGAATACTTTAAATAAAAGTTAGTATATGATGCAAAAACAAAACAAAGCACAATTCTTCATAGATTTTTAAAGAATCTGGAAAATATTTCTTTTTTTATTGTAAAACTTGTCTTTAATCTTGTCTGAAAGGTGTATACAGGTTTAAAATTTAAAAAAAAAATTTCTTGAAAATAGGATTCTAAAGGAGGATTTCTGGCCTCATCATGTCAACGGTATGACTCCAAAAATTAGTGCCTAACCTTCCAAAGATTACTTTAACTAGTTTCCGTCCATGTATCTTGTTTAAATTATGTCTCTCGATGATCAAAGAAATGCATATTTACAAAGACTAATTGCATATTTATATGATTGAAGAAATGGCAGTTTTAATATTTAGCGGCTGATAATGAGTTGTACTTAATATATCCCGTCCTGCTGGTTCTCTTGTCCTCTAGAAGATAATCCACGTCCTCCTCCGGGTCCTGGTATCGAGGACGGGCCCCTAGGGACTCACTTGGGTACCTAAGTCGACCTCCTCCGTTAGGAACGCCCCCCTGTCCGGCCCTCCAGGGTTGAGTTGGTATCCTGAGGGTGGGAGGAGAATTAATATCATTGTATCCTATCATAGGTATACAATCAGGTTCCAGGTTCTCATGAAACCCTCCTCCTCCTCCCCCCGGCCTCGAACCCGGGAGGACGCTTTGTATTCCTCCAAGTTTATATCCTGGTAGGGTTCCTGAAAACCTATCTCCCATCCCCCGACGGCCTACAGGACGTCTTGGTCCTGTCCTTGGTAAACTAGTTGAACCGTCCTGCATCCTGGATATACGTCCTATATCATCACTAAGTACGTCCTGTTCAAACAATCTTAGTTCCTGTTCTGAACTGCGTTCTCTGAGCTCCAAATCCTGGTTTAGTCCTAGATGAGGGGATCTAGGCTGTCCTGGTTTTCCTCTGAAAAAAAAAGAATTAATTGCAGCATTAAAGGGACTGTAAACGTAATTTCAAGTGACCTTCCATTTAAATAATGACATGTCCGATTTACAAGATCAAGTATGAATGGGATTTTGAAGTTTTTCCAGTCAAAGATTAGTTTTTCTAAATTTTGATCCCTCTGCAGTCTGCACAAGCGACATGCGAAATTCTACTGCAGTAACAATGAAGAACATGGTTAGAATTAAAAACTGTTCAGTGTTTTAATCAGAAAACAAAAGTATCTTTCACATTATTGATAAGATAAAGGTTTAAAGGGTATGCATCAGGGATGCCATGTATCATGTATCATGAATCCTGCCCCTTTATAGATGGAAGGTCACTTGAATATCCGAATACAATATCTTTAGTGTTCTGTAAAATGATCATAATAATCATCATTAGTCCTTCTTATAATTCTAATAATTTCTCAAATAGTTTCATTTTCAAAAAAAAAATATTATTTTTTATTTCATGCATTTCCAAATTTTCAAGTTCACCTCGGGGTGTTAAGATATTCCGAACTTTGTCTGTTTCCGAGCCGCTTCAAGGTTTGGCTTGTTTCTGAACCCTGTCTCGATATTTTATGACTGGGAGGCCCAGATTCTGTTGAACTCTGCTTAGAAAGCCCCTTCCTGGAGCCACATATACGTTAAATATGCTCAATTTTTTTTTACGAAAACCTAAAACGAAAAACTGAAGAAGGGAGGGAAAAAATATTGAAAACTGAAAAAATATATCCCCCTTCCCCATAAACAAGGAATATCCATAATAAACAAAGAATATCCATAATCAAGGAATATCCATAAACAAAGAATATCCATAAACAAAGAATATCCATAAAAAAAGAATATCCATAAACAAAGAATATCCATAAACAAAGATAACCATAAACAAAGAATATCCATAAACAAAGAATATCCATAAACAAAGAATATCCATGAACAAAGAATATCCATAAACAAAGAATATCCATAAACAAAGAATATCCATAAACAAGAATATCCATAAACAAAGAATATCGATAATTAAAGAATTATCTATAAACAAAGAATATCCATAATTAAAGAATTATCCATAAACAAAGAATATCCATAATTAAAGAATTATCCATAAACAAAGAATATCCATAATTAAAGAATTATCCATAAAAAAGAATATCCATAACTTTAAGCTCATCTTCCTATATTCATGAGGCTAAAAGTTGAGACTGTTTAAATGATAAAGTTCCAAACTTCTCTTTTATCAGTTTAAAAGATTTTAATTCTAACAGAGTATTTTCCTTCTCAAATTATAAAGTTATAACAAGCTTTATATTTTAAGATGAAAACAAAAGAAAAATAAAAAAATAAAACTTTTAGAAAAAAACCTTACATTTTATTTTTCGAAATTAAAAATTGTTAGAAAGGAATTGAGTCTTTGCCACAATTTCAAATTTTCTAATCCCTATATCTATGGAACCTGATGTTGTAGACTTTTGATATTTCAAACTAAGATAATTTGATGCAACAGAATTCATAGTTTGAAATATCTAAGGTCTACGACATTCGGTTGCAGAGATATAGGAATTAGAAAATCAGAGTTTGTGACAAAGAGTCAATTCCTTTCGATCAGAATGTTACGAATATAAAACTTGTGAGATATTTCTAACGCCATGTTTATAATTTCGCAAGGCTTTCTGTTGTTAGATGCTACAAACTTAAAAATATGAGTTACTACTACAGTATATTACAGGGTTACCCACAAAGGATGAGACTGTAAATACGACCTAAAACTCTTTAAATTTGATGATTCCAACTTACTATATTCAAGGCAGAGTAGGCTTATTTAAACCTTGGAAATTCCAAGGTTTATAATAAGTCTACATGAATATAAGTAAACATTAAACAGATATTATAAATTCCTCATAGTCGTCTCTGAAATTTTATCCTTTATGGGTAGCCCTGTATGTTAAAGGAAAATACTATCATGATACTATTTCTATTAAAAATCAATTATTTTGATGAGCTTATATGTGCGGCATTCCTTAGACTTCTCCGTCCTGTATCCACGCTCCGCCCTGGCTCTAGACCACGCGCTGCAGGGGAAACCGGTTTATCCAAGTTTCTGCCACTAGGTGACACTTGTCTACTTCCAGTAGGTCGTCTTTGCAGAGTGCCAGTGTCTCCCTGAAAACACTTATTTTTTATGTACTTCGCTTGTCTGTTTGTATCCTATAAACGTCAAAATGGTTGAACCGATCGGGCACAATTTTTTTGAGGGACCTCATGTGACCCGAAGGAAGGTTTATGGATGATCGAATTGTCAAAATTTGCCACTAACATTTGATTAAATTTTTTTGAAAATCAACGAATATTTTTTTATTAAATCCGCGAAAATTTTAGTTTTTGTTTTACAATGTATACAAAGAGAACATGGTCAAAATTGAAACATACACATTGCTGCACTATATAATACATATTACATAAAAACCCTCATGTGCTTTGTGTAAAAAAGCCCAAAAAGGTTGTAACTCTAAACCCTGAGTGTACCCGAAACATTTTAATGCATCATTTAATTTTAAATAAAGAATTACTAAAGAGCATTTTTGAATAAATACGACTGTTTTACTACTACTAAAAATGAGAGATGTTAAATTACAAGCAAAATGTTGAATCTAAATTAATTTTCTAAAATATCATCTATCTTTGATTCCATAAGCATTCATAAAGTTTGTTTTTATCCTATCGTTGTCTTAATTAATTAATTAATTAATTAATCCTTTGTCCAAATTTAATGAATTTAAGCCGCGTCTCAAATCCCCCCAAAAAAGGTTTCAATTGAGCGCCGGCTTTAATCTTGAAAAATTGAATACAATTCTAAGTGGGACCAACCATATTATAGAGCCGCCTCTTAAATTTAAGCCGCGGCTCAAATTCTTTAATTTCGGCCTCTTGTCTTCTTTTCAATTACTTATAGATTTAGCTAAAATATTGTATTTTTTTCATACAATTTCTTAAATTTTTTTCTTCATATTTTGGGTACTTTTTCTTATATTTTGGTATTTTTTCTTATATTTTTGGTACTTTTTCTTATATTTAGGGTACTTTATCTTGTATTTTGGGTAGTTTTTCTTATATTTTGGATACAAAGAAGTGTTACAAACTTATTTTTATGGATCAGTATTTTGTGGCGCTTGTTTAAAGTCCAATTCAACCTTAGAAGTTTTAGAGAAAACGAGCCAAGTGTTTGCCCTTAACCAGTGTCTTCTAAGCAATAACTTTTACGGGGTTCAGATTTTAAAAGGCACAACAAAATCAAATAAATACAAAAATATAAAAATAAAAAAAAATAGATTATTTTGCTTAAATTTTTCACACTCAAAAATTTTGTGAAATTTTAAAACTTTCCAGAATTATATGGTGCCTTTATTTTATTTGTACAAAAATCTCCAAAGTAAACAAAAACGACTCTATTTATTGACTCTGTGCAATGCAGTTTTTATGCAAAATATTCAGCTCACCTTTCTGATTTCAGTTCCGTTGAGTTTGTTTAAGCTTGAGGTCTGAAAATCAAATGTTCAAATCAAGTTATAAAAGATAAAAGTCAAACTTAGTTAAAGAAGTTGGATTGGTGGTTTCCATTGTGTGTACAGCTCCCGTCACAAGGGAATTTTCTTTTCTATTATTGGAACTAAAAACTAGTTTCACATTTAATTATGAAGTAATGGCTCAAGTTGGGGAAGAAAATACGAACTGTAAAAGTTGATAAAAACAAAATAATAAAAGTTTGTTTGATGTCAATAACTTAAAAATAAATGATCTTGAATAAAATAAAATCTATAATATGGTTTTTATAATGTTTAGGTACCACACTTACATAAAAAACTAAATTTTTCAAGTGGTATGTAAAGAATTGAATTTTGTACTTTAGATTGCATGATATCATATGTACAATGAACATTAAATGCGAAATTTCCAATGAGAATTGCACCGGGTCAGCTGTCACGCTGTGTACTGTACGGTAAAAATCATTGCGATCTAATAAAATTCATTCTAAAATATCTAAGGTCTACAACATTGGGTTGCATGCTAGGATAAAAGGGTTAGAAAATTAGAGTTTGTGACAAACAATCAAGTTCTTTGCTAACCTGTGAAGAAGCTTTATCGTAATTAGGTCCCAGGGAACCATTCCGGCTCTTGGTTGATGGAGACTTGTACGAGTCAGAGAGTGAAGACGACTTTGGAACAATTACTTCGTCTTCATCGTCCGCTCGCTTGGGTTTGGCGACGATAATGCTAGAATAAAAGTTATATATTTTTTAAATGTTAAAAATTCAAAGGAAACTTTTGTAATATTTAACTAGGTTAAAAATTGGTTAAAAGCTTAAAGTTTTAATCTGTCTATAAATATAATTAAACACATTAAAACTTTTAATTCGATTGGGCAAAACTAGGCACAAATTAATGAAAATGTTCAAAATAACTTTTATGTATTTTTTTTGCTTAGAAAAACATATTTTAAACTTTAAAGTAAAGAATGTACAGTTTGCAGCCATCTGCAGAGAAAATTCTTTTAAAAATTCCAAACAAGTTTCCAGTTTCTCAGGAAAAAAGAAATCCGCAAACATACTTTCTATTTTGGCGGGAAAATTAATATTTCAGGAAAGGAAAAAGTTTTGTAATTTCAGTGAGATCAATTATCTAAAGTATGCGAACTCTCACATAGAATAACAAGTATTATCATCTCTGGGAAGGCCAGAATTTTTAATCTATTTGTATTCATGAAATGTGCATCTTATGTTGTCTTTTTTTTGCAAACGCTTCTGAAATTCTTTATTGGCAATATGAAGGATTTCCTTTTTATGCTGCATTATGGTTGTATTTGGTACAAATTGACAATGTTTTAAATCATGCAGACTTCAATACTTTGTCTTCCATACTTAACCTCTTTTGAATCCCCGAACTCTTGACGTTTTAATTTCAAGTGATCCTCCATTCAATTCAAGGAGGGGAATGCTGGATTTAAAATGATATTCTTTAAATTCTCTTATCCGATCAATAATGCGAATTTCTTAAATATTTTAAGATTAAAAAAGTGATTTATTCCGTCATTACCTTTATTGTTTCTGCAACAGAAATGCGCAAATCGCTTTTGTGTAAAAATAATAATTGAAAATAATGAGTTTTCTAAGAGTTCGCTTTAGTCCTAGTACATATACCTGATGATAATACAGAAGAAGATCATGAGTCCTGAAGAGCATCCAATAACAGCACTCAACTGCTTATTGTCAATCATCTTAACCTTGTTTGGATCCAGAGGGGTCTTGATCTTGTTACACCTGAGAACAGTAATTATAAACATGAATTAGACCAGTTTCTAGATTTAAAGGATTGGGTATGAAGGTTGAAATACTTTATATCCAGGGAGCTTCGCGCCCTTCTTTTTAGTAGGCATTTACATATTACTTTTGCACAAATAACGATTTAAGATTTTGCTGCTTGCATGCTTAATTTCGATATTCAATGTGGAAACTTTTAAATCGAGGGAAAATGTTTGATCCCTTTATCGAAGAGGAATTAACGTAATCCATCTGTGATCTGTTTAAATGGAGATCAATGCTTGATCCCGGGATTTAAACACAAATTAAGTTCTGCTTCGTTAAACCAGGAGACACAAAGTAATTATTTAATTCTCATTTTTCACAACCAAGAGGCTAACCTAAAGCTGAGAGAAAACAGGATTCTGTTAGCTTTCTTTTACAGGGTTTCAGCTGATACAGAACAAACTACATGTATTCTAACGCCTCTAGTGTGAGAAATGGTATTCAAATCTACACCTACTTTATTCTGCTTGTACTCAAGTACACCTTTACTCTATTACCTGGAGCTTTTCGAGTCTAGATTAAGTATTGTTGGTTTAAGTATGAGATATCTTGTATCATTGGAGCTCGGTATTTCAAGATCAGAACCTGGTCCCCCGCCCAGATCAAATCCTTCCTCCTCTGTACAGTTGGTTTTAAACTATTTTTACTTCAAAATGGCGATCAAAGATAAATGATGCATTTCAAAGAAAGTCCTAAAACTATTGTAAGCACGTGAACCTGCACGGAAAGATATTATTGCTTGATTTACAACGGTACCCTTAACAAGCTTTTTCTGATCAAGTATACATCATATCTTAATGTTTATAGTTTTGAAAACTGATTATTTTTCTAATCAAGTATACATCATATCTTAATGTTTATAGTTTTGAAAACTTATTATTTTTCTGATCAAGTATACGTTATATCTTAATGTTTATAGTTTTGAAAACTTATTATTTTTCTGATCAAGTATACATCATATCTTAATGTTTATAGTTTTGAAAACTTATTATTTTTAATTGTGCTTTTACTACAAAAGTGACTTGCGCATTTCTATTGCAGACAAGCATATCAGAACTAAACAGTTTTAAACTTTAAAAAACGATAATATGTTGTAGAGTATCAGCATATAGGGTCATTATGCGGACTCATGATTCTGAGAGGGGCCTTGGATTCAAATATGATAAGTCACGTAGCAGGCTAAAATCACGTAGCATGCTAAAGTCACGTAGCAAGTCACCTCGGACTTTAAACCCGCCTGCACTCATGCTTACTTTCAGGGGATATTCTTCTTGCTTAAGGTTTTACACTGATTTTTAGTTATACACGATATTTTAGTATGTAAGTAAATAAATATATGTTTTATATTATTGTAATATGCAAACAGGGGTAACCTGTATATAACTGTGCGCATTTATCAAATAAATAGTTAGTTAGCCTCACATATTCCTTGTTGGTAAGAGTAGAGCTGGAAGCATAGCAATTATCCAAGATTTCATATTGATAGAGAGAGAGTCCTTACTACAGAGAGACTGTTGGTCTATATTAGAGTAGAGGCAGATACTCAGATTGATTCTACTTGTTTTCTGAACATTGCAAGATATTGGATTTACAGAGTTTTCCCTGAAGATAGAGAGCTAGAGTGGAGTTTAGATTATCCTTCCTTTCTTATCGATTATCCTAAGGGACTGTTCCTGAGTAGATAGAGGGAAGTGTGTGTGATACCTTATATGGTGGCAGCGGTGGGATGGAAAGTAGGCTGGAAGAACTGTAAAGAGAAAATCCAGTAACTGAACCCGAAGAGACCCAGGAACCAAGAAAGAAGCATGGAAGGACCACAGCTAGCTGAAGTATTGCAGCGCCAGCAGGAGGAAATCCAGCGTTTGCAGCAAGAACTGGAAGCGGTTCGTAGACGTGCCCCTGTGCCTGGACCGGAAGCGGTTCCCCTACCCCCAGATGGAGAGGACTACAAGTTAAGAGAGGCTATATTGAGGAGTGTGCCAAAGTTCTTTGATGATGGGAGTTCTTTGTTTCGAGACCACGAGGTAGCCGTCCAAAAATTTTTGCTGTGTAGAACTGCAGTGGTGCAAGGTGACAGTTTCAAGAAGACGATCTTGTTGGAGAGCCTGGCCGGGAAAGCGGTAAGCAGAATAAGAGATAACTCTACCGTGGATGAGTGTTACCGGAGTGGGACTTATGAGCAATTCTCAGACATCATCCGAGAGTTGTTTTGCCCAGATTCCGAAAGTATGCTGGTACGTTCAGAGTTCCAGAGCTATTTCCAGGGGAAGAATCAAGATGTGCAGTCCTACCTGACAAATAAGTTTGCGTTATACAAGTTGGCCTTTGGGCCTAGCGAGCGCTCTTTCAATACATTGATGCTCCACGTTATCCGGGGCCTGTGTAACCATTCAGTCCGCCGCCAAGTCAGGAGAGCTAACCCCAAGGATGAGGCCGCGCTCCGCGTAGCAGTGGTTGAAGCCACTGCAGCGGAGCGCGACGCCTATAATGGCGGTTACGGAGAGAGTGCGTCGGCAGATGGACTCATTACAGTCAGTTCAGCCAGGAGAGCCATGGGAAACCTACCTGAGGAAGCACCAACGGGACCAGTTCCTATGGAGGTCGACGCAGTACAGGGGAAGGAGCGAGAGTGTTACCGATGTCATAGACGAGGACATCTACGCAAGGACTGTCGAGCCAAGAAGACCCTGGAGGGGAAAGAGATTGTGGACAAACCCCGAGGGAAGCCAGCGGAAGCCAAGGGGAGAGAGAATGGCGCGAGGAAGAAGCGTTGTTTTACGTGCCAGAAACCTGGCCACCTGGCCAAGGAGTGCCGCAGCCTCAAGCAGCAGACCAATGCACTGGATGAAGAACTAGACCTCTGGGAGGAGGAGGAAGCCGTGTCTTTTTTAGTAGAGAAGGCCCTGTGCAGGGGGGCCAGATAATTTCTGCACTGAAACCACTTAAGTGCAACCTCCCCCTGAAGATCATGGCTGGGCGTGAGTGGAGGGAGCTGAGCGGGTTAGTGGACTCTGGTAACAAAGTCCGCACTCCGTTGATCATTTCGGGGAGATTGGCCAAGATGTTGAAGTTGAAGCTGAACCCCCCTCCCCCGGGGCTCAAGATTGGGACAGCAGCATCTAGGGGAAGCTTGAGGATAGCCGGGATAGGTTCCCCGGTGTCCATCCAGATACGTGGACACGAGAAGGTGTTCAGAGTGAAACCCTTGGTGATCCAGAACTTAAGTCATCATGTGAACTTGGGATCGGAGTTTCTTAACAGAGCCAAGTTGATGCTGGACTTCAGTGGGGAGGACCCAAGAGTCCGGGATCCCAGCGGAGCGACTACCTACATGGTGAACCAGATGCAAGAAGCCCTGGCAGCTCAACAACCCAGAATTCAGGATAATTTGTTACCTATTATCTGTAAAAGAAGGGTTGAGTTCAAGGGGGGGGAGGCCAAGGGGTGTGAGTCCGAGTCCAAGGGGTGTGAGTCCAAAGGGGTTGAATCCAAAGGGGCTGAGTTAAAGGGGGGCAAGGGAGAGATGAGGAAATCTGTGACCAATTGCCTGATCCGGAGCCTGGAGGATGCATGGATCCAACCTGGAGAGACTGTGAGGATTGAAGTTGCAGCACCCCAGAGCAAGGTGAAGCTAGGCAAGGACAGAATACCCGGAATCTGCTCCATGGAGTTGGGCTGGAGAGGAGAACCAGCCTGGAATCAAGGTGAGAAACTTTCCAAAATATTAAGAACTGCTAGTGCAGAAATCTCATCCCAAATATTTCAGGTACCCGGAGCACTAGCAGGGAGATGTTTGGCTATTAGTAACAGGTCAACACAGCCCATCAGGCTGAAACCTGGCCAAGTCATAAATGAGGCAATGGTAACTGATGAAGATCCGGAAGTTTGGACACCTCCTCCAGCCCCTGCAGTGAAGAAACTTAACCCTCAGGAGAGGAGGAAACAGTTGTGGGAAGAGTTGAAGCTGGAACAAAAGGAGGTTCTGAAGAGCAACCCACAACTGATGAAGGAAGTCAAGGAGTTGGTAGCAGAGTATGAGGACGTGTTTAAAACAGAGGAATGCCCTTTCGGTCAAACTGGGTTGACCGAGTGCAGGCTGAGGATGAAGCCTGGAACCAAGCCTGTGAAACAGTCACCAAGGCCCCTGAACCCAAAAGATGAAGCTGACCTACGTGCGCAGTTGGACTTATGGCTAGATCAGGGGATCATAGAACCTTCTTCTTCCCCCTGGAGTAGTCCATTGGTAGCGGTGAAGAAGAAAGATGGAAGCACGCGATGGGCTGTGGACTTTCGCCAGGTGAATAATTGCTTGGTGAGTGATGGTTACCCCCTTCCCCGTGTACAGGAGACTCTGGATAAGATGGCTGGTAAGAAGTATTTCAGCACCTTGGATGCTTCAGCAGCGTACTGGACAATCCCGATGGAAAAGGAGTCTAAGGAGTACACAGCTTTCAGTACTCCCTGGGGATTGTACCAATTCCTGGTTATGCCATTTGGCCTGTGTTCAGCTGGGGCTGTATATTCGCGATTTGTACAGCAGGTGCTGGATGAGGGAGTAGACCGGAAAGATGTTGATGCATATTTGGATGATATTGCAGTGGCTACACAAACAGAGGGTCAGCATGTGGAGAGACTCAGAGAAGTTCTACAGCGGCACAGAGAGACAGGGATCAAGCTGAACCCTGGCAAGACTGTCCTCTTTGAGAAAGAGGTGGAGTATTTAGGACACAGGGTATCCCAAGAAGGTATTTCAATGGTACCGGACTACGTGTCCAGGGTATTAGAATGGCCAGTCCCAGAGAATGTAACTGAACTAAGAAGAGCCATAGGATTTCTGAATTATTATCGGGCATTTATCAAGAATTTTGCGGAGTTAGCTGCTCCCCTGAATGAGAAGAGAAGTCACAAGGGAGAGTTTGTTTGGACACAGGAGATGGATGAGAGTTTCCGGAAGTTAAAACAGGCGTTTAAGAGTGGGCCAGTGAGGGCCTATCCGAGGTTCCAGGAAGGAGGACCACCATTCCGATTAACTACTGATTTCTCTGGAACAGCCTTGAGTGCAGTGCTATCTCAGGAACAAGATGGGGTGGAGAGATTTATTGGGGCTACGGGAAGGAAGACGACCTCAGGAGAGAAGAACTACCCGAGCCATAAGGGCGAGTTGGCAGCGGCCATAGCGGGTATTAGGCGCTATGAGCACATCCTAAAGTTTGCGCCCTTCGAATTATATACGGATTCCTCCTACTTGAAGCATTTGAAGACCCTGAAGAATCCTAAGGGACTATTGGCCCGCTGGTTAGAGGAACTCCAGCAGTACTCGTTCCGGGTGATCCATAAGCCGGGAAGGAGTAACCTTAACGCGGATGCATTATCTAGGAGCAATCATCTACCTGATCCCAGTCAAGAGGAGGAGGATGAGCAGAGGATGGCCGCCGTAGAGCCTCAAGAGTTCTCAAGGGAAAAGGTATTACAAGCTCAAAAGGGAGATCCAGATCTGAGGTTAGTGGCTGGATGGGTCAGAGCAGGGAAGATACCACCCAAGGAGGAGATTAAGGGGAAGGGTGAGGAGCTTTTGAGATGGAGGGAAATTGCTGGTGCAGTAAAGCTAGACAGAAGGG